GGCTTGTTTTACAACGTCGTTGCCAAGCGACGAAAACCCAACCCCGATGGCAAACACCGGGAGGGGCGGCTTGTTTTACAACGTCGTTGCCAAGCGACGAAAACCCAACCCCGATGGCAAACACCGGGAGGGGCGGCTTGTTTTACAACGTCGTTGCCAAGCGACGAAAACCCAACCCCGATGGTAAACACCGGGGGGGAAAATGGGGGCGGGAACAATTGTGGCAACATCACCCACGCGGCCGATAAGAGCACAGTTACGCTGCCGTCCCCCCCACGCAAAAAGCAGAAACTCCGAGTAATGTCTTCCATTACCAATGGGTCAATGGCAACTTTTTGGTCAGCTAAGTTTTTATGCTCCACAACTAACAGCAAATAAAATCTATACGAAGGAAATAATTATTTAATGCTGAGAGCGCAATTCTTTTCAGTAGAGATATTTTATGTAATATTAAACTATATTCGACCACTATCATACATAGGAGACAGACGTACATACGTACGTACATGTTGTCCTATTGACTTGTACAGAGAGAGGTAGCGTATGTGTATAGTATATCATCGCCTACTCCCTCTATCTCTCTTTTTCTCAGTCTTTGCTTTGCCCCCCGATCGTTGCCGTGCGTATTTCTAGGCAGCAAAATATAGTCTATATTTCACATAGAATAGGCCCATGTCTATGTTGCTTCCGGCAACACATGATCAGAACATAAAGATGGCGCTCGCACTTAAGAACTTGGCAGTCAAGAAATGCGGTCTCGACAAAAATCAAAATCAAAGAAATTGACCATAATAAGAACGTGATGTTAAGAAGAACGAACCCGCTTTTCCTTGCGAGGTAAGAACAGAGGCCCCAAAACGCGGCAGCTGCAAGATAATAAGCACTCACTCACGAAGGAGTGAGGAGCTACTCGCGGGGTGACCGGTGGGCAGTTAGTTGCAGATCAGCGACGAGGAGGAGCACTCCAGACAGCTGTACGCTGTAGTCGATAAACATTCAAGAACAGAGGCCCCAAAACGCGACAGCTGCAAGATAATAAGCACTCACTCACGAAGGAGTGAGGAGCTACTCGCGGGGTGACCGGTGGGCAGTTAGTTGCAGATCAGCGACGAGGAGGAGCACTCCAGACAGCTGTACGCTGTAGTCGATAAACATTCAAGAACAGAGGCCCCAAAACGCGACAGCTGCAAGATAATAAGCACTCACTCACGAAGGAGTGAGGAGCTACTCGCGGGGTGACCGGTGGGCAGTTAGTTGCAGATCAGCGACGAGGAGGAGCACTCCAGACAGCTAGCTGTACGCTGTAGTCGATAAACATTCATTTTGGTAAAATGTGGGACAGGGGGGATGTTGCTGTAGTCGAATGTAGTGTGTGGACGGGTAGTTCAGTTTTTGGGCACGCAAACGTGCTTCAGGGATTGTAGGTGTACCTCCTCGGGCTTGTGTACCCTTTTCTTGCTAATAGTGTGTGTGTTCTTTAGATCTCCTGATGGCTGTAGCATTTTTGTGACCACGGACCGAGTCTTTGCTAGATAGTGGGATTAGCAACTGACACGAGTATTGTGAAGAAAACAACAACAACAAACGCTTAGACCATTTCACTACTGAGCACTGACTGTTCAGATGGTCTTATTATATGGAGTATAGCCCCCGATCTCGCGCACAGAAGATGGGCCAAAACAATATTGGCTGCAAATCGTTCGGCGGCGGCGATTTTTCGTTCAAGAGATGGCGGTACTGTACGGTTGTTCATGTGGCTTGCCGGAACCGTCCGTCAGAGCGCTTTTTTCACGGCCGCAAGATAACCGGTCTACACGAGAACCCTCGGAAATCGACAGCTAGGTTGGATGGTTGGCGCTTGCTCGTTCTCAATTGGAGCGCCGGTGGCGGGCATGTCTCCATTTTCTTTCGTGCAAATCTCCGACTGACCACTCCTACTACTGTTGGCGTCCACGGCAGGGCGATCGAGTCACGGCTTTGGGGAATACAGTACGGGCCCGCAGATAAGAAACGTCGAATTCGGGTTGAGCCTCAATCCTTATTTTGGTGCCACGGACCCGCCGAAGTCATCCGTTTTCTTGAAAGGTATTCTTTTTATCCTTTGGAACGTCCCAACACCGTTATTTCGTATGCTTTCGATGGGCTTAATAATACAACACAACAAATCATCATGTCGCTTAACCAGATATAAAGCTCGGTGTGGCTATTGGTATGCAAAATAACCACCCTCTCTTCCCCCTTCCAAAAAAATGCGCTGTTCAGCTAGGTAGGGCGGTAGGAACACGGAAGCAGCATCAGCGGGACGTTTCGTATTGGGCACGCTGCTCCAGCTACCCCTTGTTTCTTAAATCTTGGAGGGATCGCATCATTAGTTTTTGATTGGGATATTTCTTGTGTTGTGGCCGAGGTTGAGCAATTTTCCTTCGCCCTTTTTTCAAATTATCGTAAAATTTTGAGCCTATTTGTCTGACCAGAACTTGTCTTAACTGCGGGCCCGCACTGTACGTAATGGAGCAGCTATACACATTCATACATGGTGATATATGTATGAGCGCTTTCATGGGTACTTTGAACATTTTGTATTCGGCGTCGTTTCGGGGTATTGAAGTAGCTGGGAAGGAGTACCAACATCCAAGCCCCACTCCCTCATTTTCCCAGTGAGCGCTAAGCCGACTTGGTCCAAGAAGGCTGAAACGAGAGACCGAACATCAACCGTGAGAATCCAAAGCTAGGAGCACCGGGCTTGCTCCCTTCCCATTTTTTTTTTACGTCGTTCCTCCGCAACCAACAAAATATCCCGCGATCGTCTCACTCCCCCGTCCATCCACGTCTTTCCAATTCCCTCCGGAAACATGGCGTGTCTTTGCGGTTGTTGATGTTTAGTCTACAAGACGCAGACAAGGCCATCCCCCCTAAGGAATAAAACTTGAACATTTGATATGTATATGTATGTTGCTGACCCCTCACTAGTAACCCGCGGGTAACAGGATGGGCTTCTTGGTGAGGTCCGCGTCCGTCGCCTGTGGGCTTTTGCTCTTCTTTCCGAGTCTGCCGCAAGTGGCAGCCCAGGACTATACTTGTGAGGTTACCAAAACCATCAGCGGCGAGGCAACTTGCCTCGACCCGTTTGATGGGGGCACGTGCAGCGCCGGAGATGTCGAGGTGAGAACAACGGCTTACGTTTCAAACATCAAGATGCCGAAGACAATCCTTGATAGTGCAACTTCGTCGTTGATTGGATTACTTCATGCTGCTGTGTCACACCGACTTGTGCAAAGTTTAGGCTCGGTTCCGGGTGACAATGTGCGGTTTATATTCCCCCTAGCCTGCTGCGAGGGCAAGACGGTTCGATGTGTAGGGATTGGCGACGGTCATTCCGCCTATTTGTCCGGTTCTAAGTAGCCTACATCTCCCGGCCGAACCAAACCCACCTCCAAAAAGATTAGGTCTCGAATTTGGTGCATGAAAGGCGTGTATCCCCGGAAATTCCAGCAAGGACTCACTGACCGTGTTACCAGCCGTTTGCGCGGAATATTTGTCGGGGGTTACGTCTGTGTGGTTTGGACCGTGGACTTGTGCTTGAGTGTATGGATACAGCCAGCCGTGTTTTGTCTGTTTGGAGCGCCGCCCACTCATCACGCCCCTCATCGCTGCCTTGCTCTTGTTTCCGACAGCTACCAGCCAACGCTCTTGACGTCGTTCCTCCCAGCCAGCTCTGCGACGGATCGGTGTAAGTGTCCGAAAATCCAATGTGAAACTTGTGTCAGACGAGTTGGCGTCCATGTCGACATGACGGTTACACGCGTCCACCGACCTGAAGCTCGGACTGCGTTGTAGCACGAAAAATCTTCTCAAGGAAAACCGGCGATCTGGTTTGAATGCGCTGAAAGTCTGTTTTTTTGTTTGTCCGGGCCCGATTCTTCAACTCGCGCCCAAAACCTTCCAATGATGCGTGCTTGTCTTTCTAAGAGGTTGGCAAACATGAATACCGGTGCGTTGTCAGCAATGGGAACCAAGTACTTTTTCAAGTATATGCGGTTGCTGCACGTGAAGCACGGACATTTCGAAGTTGTTGCCAACCGAGTAGGAGAGGTTGCCCCTCTTGTGAACAGCGGGAGAGAGAACAAGCTAGTTCTTTCCAGTGTTGCAACTTGTTCTACCGCGAGCTTCGCAAGACGCGATTTGCCAAGTCCCGCGTTCTGAACAGCCCCGTGCTTCGAAGGAGCTTGTTCCGACTGTTCATTGCGTACAACTGTCCGTCTGGCGGGCGGGTGTGCGGTTATCCGTTCACACAGGACCTCCGTTACCTTCAAGGGGGACTTGACATTCGACTCAACCGGTAATGGTGGCCGACAAGACGTGGGAATGTGAGTCAAGACTTGTATTCCCCACGAAAGATGGCTGGTTTTCAGTTTGGTTCAAGCTATTTGAGTCGTGACAAAGTACCTCAGATGCCTCTTTGGTATTGAGTGTGATCTATCTGCGGGTCACACGCGATTTAGGCGTCACGGCGGAAACATGCATCAGTGAGCCCGTCAACGACCGGTCGTATCGTCATGTAGATATCGAAGTTGAGGCCGCTCCGTTACCTTCCCGTGTGCCTAGGGTAAGATGAAACCGTCGCAAGATCGATCAAGAGGTGTGGTTTGAATTTCTAGCACGTGCAGTGGGCATGGACGACGTTGATCGAGCATGCTGAAATTTTTCAGGTGGCTTGGCGAATTTAACCCGCCCGGTGGACAGTGCCGCGTTTACGGGTTCCAGTGCGATGGAACAGAATTTGACCTGGAGAACTATGACGACGACATTTGTGCAGACGTCCAGCAAGGCTTAACCAAGTTTAAAGGGATCGAATTCACGGTAGGTCGTGCTCGGATGCTTACTACTACGAGAGATCGATGCATTGGCGTCGAAAAAAGGGGTGCCTGCTTAACTCGAGTCCGCCCCACGCGCAGCAGGCCTTCGCAGTCCAACAAGGAGACAGAGCAGATAGGTTGCACAAAGAAAGGCAACGTGTTCCATTCCCACGCAAGCCTCCGATCGATACAAAATCGACCCTGTGCCCCGTAGCACCCTTCCTTTCGAATTGACTAACCACGTGGGGTTTCCTCGCGCCCTTGGTCGATGTCAACCGCCGAAAGCGCTCTGCGTAACGATGATACAAATGCGAACGAGGTTCTCTCCTGTCGATGTCCACAGCCCAGAAGTTCTCAGTATCTTCTGAGACACGAAGCACGCGCGACAAGTTGTCCGCAAATCGCAATTCACAATGCCGCAGGTGCCGTGCGAGGGGAACGAGGCTGGCGAATTGGTAGTACCGTACTGCGTCTCGGCGAAGACTTCGGGGCAAGACATAGAAGAGTGTAAAACCACCGACGACATTTTCCCTGGCCCTGATTCCAAGTGCAAGTGTCCGGAAGCTCCTTTGGTGATCTCCGCCCTTAAAGTCTGCCCGGTACGTCCTCGTCACATAACGTGGTAGTTATGTGATGTGCAGCTACAAACCTTTTTGTCCGACTAACCTTTCCATTTTTTTTTTGTCTTTTAGTCGTTGGCCTCTCGAAGTTGCGTTTGTACCCGCGCATACGGAAGCAGGCGTCCTTGTTGTTTTGATCCCACATGCACAAGGCATCACCGCAGGCGCTCGTGGCGGCGTGTGTACAACAGTACGGGCCTACACAGACACGACGTGCTCCCTCCCGTGACGGTAGATTTACATTACTTCCCCACCGTGCGTGTGTTCGTGTTGCTTTGTTTTGACTATGTCCGCGAACGAAGGATTTGGAAACCATCTCCGTCACGCCATCTCTGGTCGGCGATGTTTGTGTCGGAGATGGATCGGATTTCCTCCTCACGTTCGGTCAGTGGGATACCAAGCGTTGTTGTTCAGTCATGCTTTTGCCGCTCGTGTTGGGTGTAAAGATTTTGTCTTTCGGTACTGTAGCTGCTCTACCACACAATAGTTTATTTTTTGCCATGCTCGCTAGACTAATCAACATCAGGCGTAATGTATGTTGCACATCCTGGAGCAAACCTTGTTGCGTGTGTCACGAGAAGAGCAATTGTTCGGAACGACGACTACCCCGCTCATGCCAATGTTGCCAAGCGTTTGCGCGTCAGGCAAGCGATTTTTTTTACACGAAAGTCTACACTGCACCAAGAGTTGCTCGAAGAGCACCCCGATTGAGCCGGACCACCGAATGGCGTGGCAACATACCACTGCTGTAGAATCCAGTGGGGGTGTTGACCGTCTACTTCGTCGTGCGTTGCAGTAGGCTTGCTGCGTGTCGATGCTCGCGCGACACCCGAGACTGAGCAATTCCCTACCATGCATCCCCGCTCGCGCCTTTCCCCCGACGAAACTCGCATCATAGAAAATATCCCGACAGCTGCCGGGGTCAGCTACACCATCGCCGCGAAGGATGGCAGTCTTAACATCGTTGACATAGATGGTGATCTTGACGGGACCACCGCGACCGAAAATCTGTACCCCACCATCGAGTACGACATTGAGTTGGCTATCGCTTTCGAGAACGACAAACCTGACTGTGGCACCGTCACCCTCGGCTTGAACCCCACCTGCAGTGAGTCACCCGCCTCTTTTAGTGTAGGGTAGCGTAGTGTTGTGCACAAGCTTCGGTGGCATGGCTATCGAGCGAAGTAGTCTATGCCACTTCGAAAATTAGTTTTTTTTTTTTTTGCTTGGCGTATGCTTGTTGCGTTGAGCAAACGTCTGCACCTCCGGCGGGGTGGTTGAAAGTCACAACCTTAGCTATGAAGGATATCCTCTTCTGATGTTTCTCGAAGTCTTTTGTGTTGCGGAAGATGGAAGGGACCTTGTAAGCTGACTGCAAGAATCGCGGGGGAAAGGTGGGAGGAAGATTGAGAGTTGGGAACTTCCTCCTGTGTGCCCGAAGACTGGTTGGTGCGATCAATACGACTGTGGCGGAAGAAAGTTGTGAATTTCCGCACGGAAATAGATGGGAAAACAAACCAACCGCTGGCTGCTTCTCTGTCGTTGTCCACGCTGACACATGCGACTACCCTACCCGGCGATCTTTGTTCTAATGTTTTTTTAGGTTGCGGAGAATCGGGTTGCCCCGATGGCCTCATCTGCTGCGAAAAGAAGGACTATTGTGACGTTTTCGGAGATGAAAGCGTCGACGGCGTGATCTGCGGTAAGAGGCGCCCTCTCCCTTACACCCTCCATATATCACAAGAGAGTTCCTCCCACGACAGGCGGTGTAGTTGGACCCTGCTGGGGAGTGGCATTGCCCCGTTCGTGGGTACCCACTGCTTCGCACTCGTGTTCATTTGCCCGAGGTGTCGGTCATTGTTCATGTAAGTACTTTACGTGATGTCTTGCCTTTTGTGTTGAATATTCCTCTGTATTTTGTGTGTGTCTTCAGGCTGCCATAAGACGCTTTCGTTGCACGAAGGTTTCGCCGATATCGGTTATGGCAACTGGTTGGTGTGGAAGTGTGTGCTTGGATGTCATTATCCTAAGCCTAACCAAATAAGTACATTTTTACCCATTCCAAAGAAGGACGCGAAGCTCAGAGTTCACCGAAGGGTTATGTACCGGTGAGGCTGTCGCCACCAGTTTGTGATTGAAAGGCTGCTTTTTGTTGACCTGGTGTGCCGGTGGTCAGCCCCACTCAAAGCCTGTCGCATGCGTTGAAACACAGTCTCTACATACCATACAGTATCCCTACGTAACCCAAACCTTGATCGACGCTTGCCGTGTTCTCTGTTTCAGGTGACCCTCACATGACCGGCTTCCTGGGACAAAAGTTCGACTTTACGGGAGAGGACGGAGGGTGGTACTCCGTCATCGCCGACTCCAACATGAATGTCAACATGCGGGTCACGTCCCCCGTCGCCGACCTGCCCGAGATCACCTACATCACCGGTACGCGGGCAATGATCGTCCACATATGTACAGCTCGTACATGGCGATTCCAGTTGAGGAGTGCTACATTGTATCGCGACTCAATTACTTCCTTCTGGCGCAGCGAGTAGAACGGAGTGATTTGTACCGAAGGTGTGTACTCGAGCGTTGCTTCCTTTTGTTCATAAAACCGTTCGACCTTGCATTCGACGGAATACCGTTGCCAGCGCAGCCATAATTCAACAGCCAACAGTCGTTTGCCAGGGGGGAAGGGGCAACACTGTAAACGATACCGCCTCCAGCTCTCGAGCGAGTAAAACCTACAAACCTCCGCGGTTCAAATGGATGACAGCTGTAGTGGGGGTGGGATCGCCGTGTTACTCCCCGTGGCGCACAACACACGCCATGCCCTGTGATGTGACCCTCACTTCTTGTTGTTGGCCCCCTCATGGCGGTTTCTGGGGCGAACAGGTCTGTCCGTCCTCACTACCGACACCGACGGTTTGGAACACAGCATCGTTATCGAGGTCATCGACCCGCACAACCTGGACAGCTCTTGCCCGGCCGGAGTTTCGCCCTGCCTCGGGGACGGCGCGCTCGTCGTGCTTCTCGACGGGGTAGAGTCGTTGTTCGCCCCCGGCACGGTTGCTCTGGGGGCAGACGTGGAAGTCTCGGCGGCCAACCTCCCTGGCGCCTGCCGCTCGTTCGGCTTCGAGAAGGTCGGGCGGCATTAAACGCTCCATATTATCCACATGTTTGGTAGCTTTCCGCGCCTCGCCTAGTTCGGGTGTTCTTGCGCCTAGCTATTGTATATTTCAATATGTGTCAATCGTGCCTGCCTCCCCCTCTTGCTGACCACCACAAAGGGGAGGGCACCACCCGGAACCATTGATTGTCGGGGGCTACTCTACTGCAGCGTCTTGCCGCAAGACCAATCGATGTCGGTCTCACACGATCACTGCAATGCTTTTCGGGTGATGACATTGATTTCGTTTGCAGTACTGGGAGCGCAAGAAGCTCGAGAACGCCCGCGCAGGCCGCCTCCTGCGCACCACGCCGAGCATGGGCGAATGGATCCTCGGGGTAAGGAGTTAAGACTGACCAACCTTGGGTAGTGTTGTACCTGTTGGTTCCTTTGTTAGAGCAAGACCAACGAATGGAGAGGTATCGGGTAGAGGGGTACTGTAACCCCTCGCGAGCACGAGCAAGGTGTTAGGAACACAGGTAGCGAGTACAGCATTGGCCAGTCGGCGAAGGAATAGACCGTATCTGCAACGATTTCGCGAGGCCCTCAATAGCCTGCATCGTATAGTTTCGGTGGATCGACAGCAGTGCACCGTTGAATCGCATGGTTCGTTCCCGCGAGTAGCGTGTATGGGTAGGTAAGCCCGTTTCCGCGAGTGGCATGATTATAGGGTGTGTTATGGTTGATTTCATCCCCAAATTCTACACGTATTTTCCACCACATATATTTTGGTGTTTGTTTTCGCATTGCATGCAGCACCCCAGTCCGACGTAGCTTTTCCTTATATTGCCTGCTTTCAAACATGATGTGTCTGAAACCTTTGAACCTCAAAATGCTTTGTCATGTCCATCCGCCAATATGACACCGTTCAAGAAACAGTTTCACACCGTTCGAACATCCAGTTCTGCCGTGTTGAACAAGCATTGGAGGGCGTTCTAGTCCTCGCCACTACTGATGCTATTACAATGATACCTTAACAGGACTGTACACGAATGATTGTAGGTTTACCTCGGCACAACGGCACTAACCATTGAGCTACAGGTCATTGTGTTTTTAACCCGTCTCGAATGTTGCTGACTTTTTATGATTATTTCCAGGATCCCACGGCCACCAACAGTGTTTTTAACCCGTCTCGAATATTTCTTACTTTCATGGTTATTTCTAGGACCCCACGGCCACCAACATGAACGAGTGCGTGGAATACGTGGCGCGCGCCGAGGCCGAGGAAGGCGGGGTTTTCGCTCACCAGTCCGAGCACGTTTCCTTCCAGATCGTTACTCCCAAGGCGACCGTCCGCCTGAGCCACGGCAGGCTTCACCAGATCGCCATGCGCGACCCGACCGACCGGTTCGACCTCCCCGACCACTTGACCTGGCAGATGAACATGGCGATTCACCACGAGGACGTGAGATACTTCGATGCAATCAGACGTACCATGTGTTTCATATGAGAGTCACCCTCGGGGGTGACGGTGCAATGGTATGACTGAAAGCTAGCTGCATGAATCAAGTCTAAATGTTTCGGGTATCCGTGCTTATTATTGTAGTATTACACTGTTCCGCAATGTCCTGTAACCTCAGGTCGGGCGTGACTATGGAACACATCACCGGGGATATCTCCTTGAGAAACATAGCCTCTGGTTGCAGAACTCAGTAGGGCGGGGG